CCATGAAAGTAGTGGCGGGGGCAACTGGCCTACAACCCACATTATTTGACCTCGACGGCAGCCCAGGGATCCTCTCATAAGTTACAAAAAGCATTTTGAGTTGGTAGCTCTGGAGCTTAGTCACCTAAGCTTCCCCAGAGAGGACTTGTAACTCACGTGGTTCCTAGTAGCTTTCCTTGGTAAGTGTGTTGCTGAGACATGCTCTGCACTCCTCCAACAGCCGGTAACGCGTCTGACAACGGCACAACGAAGGTATCGGCATGGGTGAGGGTGTCGTCGCTCACTAGAGTCCCATCCGCCTGGTTGATCACTGCTCCAAGATTATGGGCGAATATGTCGATTGCAGACTGAAAAGTGAATCTTATTAATGTGGGACAGCCGAGTACGAGAGGACCGCCGTACCGGCTTGGTAGGCAGCTGAATAACATAGTTCTGGTCCCATGCAGATCGTTGAGAGTTTGGAAGCGAACCGCTTGCGTCCAGTGTAACAAAGTTGGTGGCCAGGTACCGTACTGATGTGCTGAAAAGAGGGTAAATATGGGTGATCCACCAATTCAGTAGAAGTTACTGTAAACTAACTCTGGGGCCGAAATTATAAATGTGAAGCTGAAGTAACATGTAGGTGGGATCTTCAGGTAGCTGCAGTTGTATCCAGCTGGACAAGTGCACGTCCACCCATTTGGCAGAGCAAATTGAGGATTGGAATAGCCACGAAGTTGGAATTGTATCGTTACACCACTGTCGATCTCAATATTGCTCTGAAAACAATTTGAATTAGTCCTCCCGAGCTGCAGGGTCGATCTAGGGATAACGGTAGGGAGACGTGCCTTCGCTCAAGTTAAACATTTGGAGTATCTGAGTATCTCCCAATCAAAACCCTCCCCCTAATGAGTAACCAGGCGTGGCATACACAAGTTACGTGACCCAGACAGACACAACTCCACATTGATCACCACACCAAAAATGGGGAACAGATAAACGAAATACACCCACGCTGCGGCTCATATTGTATGGAGTGAGGACCTGACCGACGGCACCTCTCGACATTCCCTGCTGTTGTTGGGAAAATGCCGAATTCTGTTGAAGACTTGCTTGAGCATACGGTAGTTGCTGATTCTGTTGGAGGTACGTCTGCTGCTGGTTGTTTGCCTGCAACTGACCAACCTGTCTCTGCATGGGCTGCATCTGAAGGTATGGTTGCTGATTCTGTTGCGACCGAAGGAATGGCTGTTGTTGTTGCTGCTGCTGGTTTTGTTGTTGCTGTGATTGCCCAAATTGGTACTGGCACCAGGAAGTAGGCACGAACAGAAGGAATAATCGGATAATCATCCTGAAGTGGGAGAAATCGTATAGCAGGTCGAAAACCATGTACTTTCGTGGAATAGACGGGAAAAACGCTGCGATAGCTGAATTCAATTTGCATACGGCGTAGTATGCCGTTCGACGATGGAGACGGGCGTTACTCGAATTCAGAAGAAAGTACGAGAATGGTAAGGAATGGAAGATCAAACAGTAGGATACCCTTATGCAGAACATGTTACAAGAAAGGAAAACTACAAAAAAATGTCACAGAAGGGAAATGAGTAGGCGAAGGAAGCGAAAACGAACTTTTAAATGAATTATGAAATAATAGCAAGGTGAGAAGAGTTACCCACTAAACTTTGAAATTACCTTCCCATAAAGTTGTTTAAACTACGACCAGATGAACAGGACTGATCCCCCAACCCGGTAGTGCAATGGGTGATACAGTTGGGTGGAATTGATGAAGTGAAAAAGGCAGATCGCCGAAAGCCCTCTTCCAATGCATTTCGAGTCCATTATTGAAAAGCATTGCTGAAACTCCTCGATGTGAGGGTATCAACCATGAAGAAGACAAAGTGAGCAAAACGAGAAGTATTCTCGGAAACTGTCAGATGAGAACGCGAGGGAGATGATCTTGTGAGACGCAGTTGCTATATTTTTCGAAACCCGTTCAACAACCAGTTTCGATGGGAATTTGGTGAGTCAGCCAGCTGATTTCAAGAGGCATAAACTCCACCTGCGTGGGTCACGAAACACCCAATTCTGTGTTAGCTTTATCAATTACAACGGGTGATGAGTGAATCGGAGAGACCCTGTGTCATTTGTTCGCTATAAGGACCCATTAAAGGGTTTCGAGAAGGTTCCGCCTCAAAATCCGCTGGGGTCAGTAATGGAATAATCAAAAAGTAAAGAGCATATTCCGCTCGATAAATGGTTCAGGTATCCACAGGTGGATGGGAGCAAAATAAGCTACAAACGTGATTGACCAGATTATTACTAGCGGCAGGCTCTCCTTACTGTTGAAATGCCCCTCAGACTGTTAAATCTAATGGGATCAACAAGTAACGACCCCGAGGCAGTTCGGCTGCTCTCCGCTAACTACATGAAAAGTTGTGGCCGGCATCGTACTGGGGTGCCGTACCACACACCGAAGCAATAATCCAAGACAGTTTAATACTAAAAACCGTAGCGCACTCAGTATACATTACTCTCATGAAGGGGTTCCAGTGCGGATGCCATCTAATTGTGATTCAACTTCAGAACTTAAGAATGAAGATGTCCACTTTTGGCTTCCGTAGAATTCCATTGTCATGAGTTCAGTGTAATGGAAGGAACTCAAACGCTTTACGAACTTCGTTGTGAACTTTGCTTGGTTAAAGTTTTGGAAGGGTTGCCTACCCCTGGGCATAATAGGGCAAATCCATCTTTGAGGAGTTCATCCTAAGGTCTGTATAGCCCTACTGGACTTCGAGCACNAGTTCCATTGCCATGAGTTCAGTGTAATGGGAGGAACACAAACTCTTTGCGAACCTCGTTGTGACCTTTGCTTGGTTAAAGTTCCGGAAGGGTTGCCTACCCCTGGGCATGAAAGGACAAATCCATCTTTGAGGAGTTCATCCTAAGGTCTGTATAGCCCTACTGGACTTCGAGCACCAGCAAAAACGTCCTCGCAATCACTTACGGGCCACAGCCGACCTGAGGTCGGCTTGTGTTGGAATTTATTGAAAAATCGCAGCACAAACCGCACCGCACACCCTCATGCCAAGAGACTGTCATGGTTACTGTCGGAGGGTTAGTCTTGACCCCAAGACAATGTTTTTTCAGTCTGCAGCTCAGTAGGGTAGGGCGGACCGTAGGTGGATTGTAAAGCTTCTGATCGATTTTGATAAAGGGAGCGATGGGAATTCAGGTGAAAAAGATGCAAATGTTGATAACAGAACATTCCGAAATGAATTGATCAGCTGGCTGACGAAATGTTAAATTCGGGAAAAATTTGATGGCGAGGAGCACCCAGTTGAGTCATCGCAGAGACACAACGTACAGGTGGTGAAGCACACACACACACATATTGATAACGTATCTGTAACAAATCACTAATCAATAGGCCTAAATCAATAGTGGAGACGTCAACGATGTACCGGAGTGCAGACTAACAACACATACTTCGAATACTTCAAGATATGACACCTGAAGAAAGGGAACATTGTGATGAAAAAGGCGAAAGTGGCAAAGCTTATCAGTATAGGCCGTGTAATGGGGTTTAAAAAGTAAATAAAAATTTGTGGGAACATTTCAGGGGGTCTCCCTTCCATACAATGGGCCCCAAAAAACCATCCAGTGCTTTCAGCTTGGTAAATAAATGGACTATCGATTGAACAATATAGAAGATATAAGAGTTCTATGAAAATCAATTTTGTTTGTTGTTTGCAAGCAAGAAAGCTACTCTGGAGGGATTTAGCTACCATCCGGGAGGAATTCCGAGCCGTAGTTATTACGAAGTGCTGTCCGAGCTGATATGTTAACAGTGAACAGACAGTTCTGACGAAAACAATAGCGGCAATGGCGCCCAGTACGAAATATCACGGACAGCGGAGGCCCTATCAGAACCGGAGCGAGACATAGCTGTTGACGGGGTTTTTCTAGGTGAAACCGTCTCAGGGTCAGTATAGCTCAGATAAAAAACTCTCAGAAAATGAAATTGGGAGGACCATGGAATCCAGTGGAATCTTTAGGAGGTCAGCAGAATTCAATTAATAATCGGAATATGCAAAGGAAATACAAACCGGAAGTAGGAATTCGAAACGGAATTTACTGAAAGTAGAGAGCAAAGCCCATATGAAGATCTGGGGAGAGTTAGTCGTAGATGGCACATGAAGAGTGGATCAAAGAGGAAACTTGCATAGGGGTCAATTGTTGGGAAAATAAAATCGGAACTCGGAAATCGGAACAAACTTTTTTCAAAGGATTCTGCGAGAGTTTGCTTACAAGCTCTTTGTGATTTCGTTTTTTCCTCAGCATAAGGAGGGAAAGGGCGAGAGGAAGAAACCGTAAGTGGTGGCGTAGAGGTGCTTGAAGAAGTTTCAGCAAGAGCTGTAGCTGGTCTCTGTTGTACTAACAGCATCATCCAAACTTCATCATTCATTTGTCATCTCTGATAGACAGGCAAACCACACATGTGCTTGATCCGTCCATCACATATGACAGACAAACGGTCACATGAATAGATTGTTATTCATTCATGATTTTCATTCATGTCTAACAACACTTGATTGTTGAGCTCTTCTTTTTCAACCCGATACTACCGAGGTCATATTAATCGATGTAAATCTCGAACGAATTCTTAGTGTAGGTGCTTTTCACCCAGGCGGTCGGCTGCCTGGGTGGGGCACAGACTGTTAGGCGTACCCGGTCAGTTCTCGGTGTCTCGATAGACCTATCAGAGCTGTATCGGAGAGTTAGAATCCCAATGTAAACATCGCATGGCAATGTGTTGATGAAAGGCAGGACATCCCTAACGATAGAGGACAAGTACAGTATGCTTCCG